ATTATTCTGTTTGATTTGTATGTCCATATTCATGATGTGTTAGCTGATATGATATAATTTAAGTGAACATTATGTTCAGAAACGTAGAATCCATATTGTTAATATTATATTATTTAACAGCATAATAAAACTCGGTGGCGTAGTGGATATGCGTCGCGGCCCGCGATCGTAGTCGTTAAGCAACTTTCGCAAGGGTCGGTCACGGGATGGTTAACCAAAAATTATTATCTCGAGCTACTCCGTGCTTCGGAAGGCACGTTAAGCCGTTGGTCCCGGCTGCATTTACAGTCGTTAATACCCTCCAATCCGCATTGGGCCAGCGTGGAGGGTCATGGCCCATCCTCCTTAACCATCCATAAGGAAGGCCTGACCCCCTGCAGTGGGGACGTAAAAGGGCTGGTGATGAACAGCATAATAAAAACCCGCTAAGTGCGAGTCGGTAACGCACACGAAAAGTTCCGTACAGGAAACGAGTAAAAAATCATGTTTCTTATATATTTGTTTGATTCGGGTTTTTAGTATTTTTTGTTAAAGCGGCCACAGAAATACATCATCAGTGAAAATTTCAAATGTATTAGTAATAGGGTTACCATTTAACATACCCTATAAAGAACTTTCTGATTTCTCGTGGTGTCATATATATTTTTATTCTCAACATAGCTGTTTTCCCGCGACTTATCCCGCGCAAATACTAGCCTATATGTCTCCGACGTATGATGCAACTTCCTGTTGGTGCATTTTCTTTTTTATTGATCCAGTAGTTTGCCTTTTGATAATATTAGTATAGATAGATAATAATTTTAATAGACCGGTGATGATGACTATAGATATAGATTTTACATGGAACTTTATAGCCTAAAAATAATAATAAGCTAGAGAACTCACACAGCAAAATAAAACCCATAATGCATTAGTTAATGCATAGAATACGCGAAAGTTTGAAATAAAACAAATTATTTATGATCACTCTCCTATCATTTCACTAGCAAATATTCTCTTAAAATACACCATTAGTCATTAAGCAGAAGTCATAAAATGGTTTTATTGACTTAATTTATGGTTTTATAATGATTTTGCTATTTGCCCGTGAGTTCTCCGGAGTAAATTATGCATATATCACCCCCGTATGATATAGCTTAGGTGATATATTTATTATGATTAATGGAATAGTGATTTAAGTTCAATTTCGTAGTAATCGAACATTGACAGGACCTCTCGCGGCATCGCGCCATCCGAAGAGAAGGGATGTTAAGATGAGACCTATATCCAAAACTGGATAACCAATAGGCAACCATGATTATGATGATGGTCGAGTACGGAGGAGGTCAAGATACTAAATTTTTTATCATCAATTCACAGACGGAACTAGCTAGACTGTGCCATGGAACTCCTCAAATCTGTACTAACCTTAAAACCGTTGAAATGTAATTTCGTTAGCAAGCTTTCACGTATTGCGCCAGCTCCTGCAATTAAAACTTTTACAGTCTTTTTTTGAACTTATTTAACAGGAGCAAGGTAAGATTTGTTTTCGTGAACACTTTTATGTTGCCTAATATTATTCTCTTATTTCTCTATACTATCAATATAAAGAAAAAAAATTATTGTTTGTTTGCATCGTATAGGCTCCGAAACTATTGGAGCTATTTTAAAAAATCTTTCACCTACAGACTGCATACAAGCTTCACCATACGCTATAATTTACACGGGCGAGGAAGTCACGGAAAAACAAAAAGTATTTTGAATAATTCTTATGTTTCTAGACAGTGGTATTACCATCCTTAGCATGAAACTTATTGAATGCAAATAGAAAAAAAAAACTTGAGAGGACTCCTAATAGGTTTGCTATAAGCTTTACCGCACATTCGGTTTTTGTTGTTGACTTCCTGATCGAGAATTTTAATTCGGAGAAACACGGAAAACGAAATGAAATTACTCCCATATCATCGAAAATAATACTTATAATTCTAAATAGTTTGTTTGTTAATTTGCATTGAATGGGCTCCGAATATGTTGGACTGATTTAAAAAGTTTTTCCCCTAGAGGAAATCATACGAAGGGGAAATCTCATCATTCTTACTCTAATATTGCTGAAGTGATTTGTATGACATGAAATACTTTGTTTTGTATATATTTTTTATTTTACTGATGAAATCACTATTTTAACAATTAAAATGTTTTGAAACTAACTCTTACTCTTCATATTGCCAATGCAGCGTACCACAACCTTTAAGTAATTCTACGTCATTGTTTGTAATGTGACACGTCATTATACTTTTTAAATAATTAAAATATATCATTGGAGAAAACTCGAAGATAAAGTTAGCTACCAGAAATTCTAATTCCACTCTTGCAAAGTAGATGTCAAAGCTTATTTAGTAAAAAAAATGCTTATTTAGTATACGGAAAATGAACTTTACAGAATTTTAATGCTCCTTATTTGGATTATATCACAAATGAATTATACATATTAACAAAACAGCATTCTATTACGAAGAACAATTACTAAATAATTGTTTAAATCAAACAATTATTTAAACTGAGTGTTAGCTGAAGCGTACTGTTTATAATGGCCGTTTCACATAAGGAGATTTTTATTGAACCAGAAAACATTTGTACAAGTTTCAACATTATCTAGTTTTAAATATTGTGTATATGTATCCTATAATTGAATTTTATGTATCCTATATTTTTTTTAAGATATGAGGTTTTTTTATAATGTTGATAATAATGGCATATTGGTAGTTCATAATTTACTGAAGAAGAATAGAAACATCGCGTCATACAGTCGGAAGCGATAAGGTCAGATTATTTTATCTCCTCCTAAAAATAAATGAATCCTTTGTTTCTCTCTTATTCTCAGATAATTTTAAACAACATCAGAGATCTGTCATATATATATCTCCTGTTTTTTTAAACTTAATTAAAATTTATTTTCATTCACAAACATTTTGAGAACTTATATGAATCAGCCTTTATGTTGTGATTAAATCTTTTGTCAAATGTAAGAGAACGTTTAATTTTTGCTTGTATGCATAAAGGTATTTGTTCTGGAACTCTATTTAACTTTTCTTGGATTTCATTGGGAATACCTAATGAATGTTACGTAGAGTCACTTTATTCCACACTAAGCAGAGCCGAAGTGGAATATCAAAGATTTTATTATTATAAACTGTCGAGAGGTAGTAATATTATATACAATATATTTTCTATTAATTATAAAAAGTAGTGATCGAGTGACATTCGGTAATAAACTAAGATCGTTGGCTATCTTAATTCATCAAATTTTCACCTGGTGCAAGACAGGGGTGAATTCTCTAAGCCGTCGACATATATTAAGATCCTTAAAAAGGTTAATCGATACAATATCTGTTTTATTATAAAACTAGGAGTATAGTCTTAATTTGACGTTTTCTCCTCGAACAACATAAAATATTATATTTGATCAATTTTCCATTCACAATGCTATACTTGAAAATATTCTTAATGAATAATCCCTGGCCTTCTGAATGGGACTAAGGACAAAGTGGATTTTTTAAGCATTTCCCATTAATAACATTAATAATAACAAAATATTTTATAACAACTTAAAATGTGTTTCCTTCTTGTAACTTCGGAAAATATATTGACAATATCTGATTTCAATATATTGTCATTAGGACAATCATTAAGTCATTGTAAGAAGAAAGTACATTGTTATAAAAAGTTGTTATAAAATATTTTATGTTATTAGAAAAAAAATTCAGGGCTGACCATTGAACTTGGCACCTATTAAGGTCTCACTTCATTGTCGAAGAAGTCAACAACCAAGACATATATCATAATATTAAACTTGGCTCTCATTTTACATTTATTTTATGATAGGATTATCACATATTTACGTTTTATAAATGTTTTACTGAATAGAGAAAGGTATTTGACGAGAGGCACGCGAAATACACAAGATATAGAATAAATGCCAGTGTGCGAGTGTTATTCCATAGATTTTTGGAAACCTACTATGCCTACACGCCTCTTAGATAAAGACATATCGTCACCTTAGATCGTTTACTGCGTAATTCCTTTTGACTCAACTTTACAGGAAGCAAAAAAAAACTGTTTTAATAGAACTAAATGTTCAGAAAACCATTATTTATAATTATTATTATACGTAAACATGGACTTGGATTACATTAAAAAAGGAATTTACTGCGTAATTAATTTGCTTCATATTTAAAAAGGAGTTAAGAGGTTTGATCTTTTTGGATTTGAAAATTGAAATGGAGTTAGGTAGTTTTCTTGGATATACGAAGTTTGCAAATTAACTGTTATTCTATAACTTGATTGGACTTAGTAATAACAAAAAATACCCAAAAAGGTTGCCCTATGAATATATTTTTTAGCAGTATAGGCAAAGTACGAAAACAGAGTTGTATTGAAAAACATAGCCTTTATTTGTTGCAAAAATTGTATACATTGTATACAAAAATGTTACATTAATTAAAAATTAAGTAACGTCGACAACTTAGACTCATTAATTATTAACTTCAGACTATATCTAAAACTTATACCTATAAGTTAATGGCACATTAGTTAATATTATCAAACACATTTGATCTAGGACATAATTGTACTGCTTGCAAGTCCATAGTAAAAACTTCTTTTGTGCTTTTCTTGTCGTTTTCTTTTTCTACTCTTGCACTTACTTTTTTTTTGATATGACACTTGTATGCTTCCTCACTTACATTCTTGGTCTTGTATTTCTCGCAAAGATCGCAAGCGTCTTTTTTTGGCTGATATAGGCTTAAATTCATTTGTTCAAAAACCTCACTAAATGTCGCAATGCTAACAGGATCGCAGTTATTATCTTTGCAGAACTCGTTATTGTAAACTTTCAAAAGTTGAGCTTTTGACTCCCATAAAGTTTCAATGTACAATTTTGAAGTCTTTTTACGACAGTAATGGCTTTCCATTTTTGGCAGTAATTCAAGAAAACGTTTTACTTGTTGATTCTTTAAGTCTTTCTTATCAACTTTTGGTTTATTAATGTTTTGTTTTTCATCATTCATTGTTTTTTATCCAACCTTTTAAAGCCCATTCCCCTATGGTTAGTGAGTTCAGAAACATGGTCTTGCAAACCCGAATGTTTTTTGTATTTTTTTTTTAGATATAGCTCCAAAGAATTTTTTCTCTTTGATTCAGATTCATTAGCTCTACTTCTTGCTTTGGGTTTTACAACAACTAGTGACCTCACATAAATTTTCTTCTCTTTCCAACTCATTCTCCAGAATTCCTCAAAAATATCTGTTCTTTCTTCTTCAGTTAGTTTAGCACATTCAAGTTTTGTAGTTTTATTGCTTAGTTTGCAGTTGCATCTTGGTTTTACGTTTGATTCCTTTTTAGAAATGTTGTAGTTCCATATTCCTGCATCTTTATGTCTACCTTTGTATTCTTCACCCTTTTCCCTGAGTTTCTGATTCTTTATTTTTTCCCACGTTTCTTTATTTGGTTTTTTCTTTCGTTTTTTTTCTGTTGGTTGTATATCATCAGAATCATTAAACTTCAAAATACTTGGAGATACTGATGAGCTTGCATGTCCTTCAACACTTGTAGTAGCATCACTTGGTTCTAAATTGGGTCGTGTTACAGTGTCTTCGCAATCACGTGTATCATCATCTAATAATATTGTGACTATTGGGCTTAACCTGTTTAAATTTATCAAATTGGATGAAACTGAAAATATTGGTGAACAAGGTTGGGGTTCGATGTTACGTAACATATTTTTATCAGAAGTACAAGGGTTAAATAATATCATGTCTTTGTCTTCAGTAAGCATTATATTTTTAGGATTGCCTACTAAAGTTTTAGTAGTAGGTTTTTCTGCTTCTAAAGATAAACTGCCATCATCATTGACGACATAATTGGTCTCTTCAATGACGTCCTTCTTAGAGGACTGATGGGTGTCTGTACTTTCTAAGTTCTCGAATATTTTTTTAATACGTCCTTTATATTGAAAGTTCATTCTGAAACCAAGCAAATGAAATTACTGTAGACTATGAACAATATCTTAACCATAAATTAATAAATGTTTTAGGTATAGGTAATTATATTTTTGTATTTATAAGAAGCCCGGAGGTTCTACAACTTCCATACACAGACGGAACATAGAAAATGTTATGGCGTCAGACTTCGGCGATCCTACTACTGCTGTGGAGTCCATACCAGGGGTGGACCGCTGAAGGTAGATCCCAATGACTCATGTCAAAAACATGCTGTGTAAAAGTATGTAGCTATCATTCTAAGCATACAAGAATATTGTTTAGGTACCTAGGAACTTACTTGATTGGTTAATATTATTGAAGATAGGTTCCAATGTTGTTTGCCTAGAAAGAAAAAGCTCAATTATTACAGAAAAATACAAGCTAGTTCTTACTAACTCCTACAAAATAATCAGATTTATTAATTCGTGAACCACTTAACTCCACAGAAGAGTTTGATAATAACCAGATTTATTAATTCGTCAACTACTTAACTCCACAGAAGAGTTTAATTAAGCTACAATTAGTGTTATTCGTCTAGAACATTAAAGAACATTATAACACTATTTTATTAACTCCAGATTGAACTTAAATTGACGTATAACCTCGTCCACGTCACGTGTAATACTGTAGCGGGGGGAGATGCGATGTTCGGCCGTTACAAAATTGCGGACTGGAGTTACGAAGTATACGAATTGTTGTTGTGTGCCTTCAGTTTTATTTTGTAAATTTTATGTCCTTGACAATAAGACGCGTTTTAGAATAACGAATCGAATGATACCAAATACTTACTTTGGCCAAAAATGGAGTTACGCAGTAAACGATCTAAGGTGACGATATTTAGATTACTTTCGATTTAATACTCATATTAAAATTACCATGTTACGTTATTGAATCTACGATTGTTTATTTACCTAATTGGTTTTAAAAATTAATTACGCACTAGTTTTTAAAAAAATATTTATATTTCAAATACTTTCATGTACGACACATTTGATAACACATGATTTACTTGTAATGTGATATCCCTAAATATAAAAATATAAATAGATAATAAATTTCAACATCACAGACATTGCTCAGATAGTAAATTAAGTTGGGTAGGGTTATGGATATGTGAAATAATGTAACACAATACCCAAACCTGGGCCATAGATAGAAAACATAATATTCAATTAATCAAAGAGGGAATCGAACTCACTACCTCAGATAAAAACCAGTATGAGAGCTCGACTACGGAGGTCGACAAATTAAAATATTTAACCAGTAGGCTAATTATCTAAATTTAAAAATTTAAATTGTTATAGCGATTACTGGAATTAGTATTGTAACTTTTAAAAACGCAATAACCTTTGGAACGATGATGATTTTAATAATTTAAACTTAGTTAAACCCTTCGAAATATTGCAGTTAACATTCAACTCTTTAGTTTAACTGTTCTCAATAGCTTCCAAGCATTCATCGCTTTGCTTATATAATTCAAATTAACGACAAATTAAAAATATCGTTAATTCAAAATCATAGTGGATAAGCGCTGCGGCCCGTGATCATTGTCGTTAAGCAACTTTCGCAAGGGTCGGTCTCGGGATGGGTGACCAAAAAATTATTATCTCGAGTTACTCCGTGCTTCGGAAGGCACGTTAAGCCGTTGGTCCCGGCTGCACTTGCAGTCGTTAATACCCTCCAATCCGCATTGGGCCAGCGTGGAGGGTCATACTCTTTAACCATCCATAAGGAAGGCCTGAGCCCCTACAGTGGGAACCTAAAAGGGCTGATGATGATGATGATGATGATGATGAAAATCTTTCAATAGAACTTTGCGATCGCAGTCGCTATCACACGTCAAATATTGTTAGCGTAAGTATCTTTCGAATGTCAAATTTAAAGTGATTGCTATTCATTTTAAAGTTAGATAGTTAGCCCCCTAGATTACATTTCGCCCATATCCCTATGAATATATTCTATCATGTTACATGAGAAAATACATTTGTATGTGAATATTATTCCTTTTAGTAAACGTAATTTAACCGAAGCACCCATCCAATTTTATTAACAAATCTGAGTAATGCCATTTGGACGTGAAAGCCTACTCTCTGATAGATGTTTGTTATTAATACAAATTCCGTGTTCGTTGTTCACGAAATAAATAAAAATACAACTCTTTTTTTTATTACGTTTCAACTAAAAAAGGTACCTGTGTCATATGTATATCGTATGTCCTTAATTCTATTTTTAAGTGATAAAAATTGAATAAAAATTTTACTACATTGACATGTCTTTTGGTGGATAAATTTGGGACAAATGACTAACGGCCAGTTGCACAACCGTCCATTAAGGTTTAATGACGCCTTTAAGCACTAATGAATGTCAAATTCGTATGGGTAATGTCGCTTTAAAGTAATGAACATTTTAATGGACGTTGGTGCAATTGGCTGTAAGTTACATTAATAAGTTAATAATAAATATTGCTATCAAACCATAATAATCATTCTTTATAGTTCCTTTGTCGTTACTAAAGTACATAACAAAGAAGGAAAAGGAAACAAATATCGACATATCATCTATTAGTTGATTGCCATAACATCGATAATGTGGATAGAATCGTGTCTACAGAATAAGACGGTCGCTCTGCTGGTCCATGAAGTGTCCGTTGGGTTAAAACAGTGTAAATGCATATAGCTTGATCTTTTGTAAGGATTTGTAACCATAGTAGCTGGATTTACAATAATTAAGGTCCAATTTGTTCGCAAGAGCTTACATATAACATTTTATTGTAAATCTGTTTGTGGTTCTAAATGAAGATATGTAAAATAAAAATTATACAAATTACTTAAACAATTACTGATTCGATATCGTGACAATTGTGTTCCAGTAACCATTAATTTTAAATTTATCTAAAAATCCAAATAGATTAAATAGTTTCCAATATTTTATAGTCACCAGGTTTCTGAATTGAGTATTTAAACATTGAACTTAAACAGTACAATGTTTAAATACTTTTGGTTTCTGATTTTAGTTGTATTTAGTAATTATCAATTATTAGAAGTTTGATAAAAAAATATAACTTTTTGCCCTGTGAAAAGTAAAAAAGTTAAGTTGTTGAGTATAATTAGTTGAAATGTTATACTTTTCTTAAAACAAAAACCAACCTACCATTGAAATATTAAGAATAAATATAAATTAAGAAAACTTTTCATCCGGGAGCGGTTTATAGATCAATTCGCTGACTACTTCGAGTTCAAGGCTGTCTTTATAACTGAATAGCCCTGCAGAAATATATATCGATATGTCAATGGTACCTTTATTACCTGCTCACCGATGTCCTAACGCAAGCCATTTTGAATATAGCTCTCTGGGGCTGCTTACTTTACTAAACCCTTTCAAGTGCCTTCGTCAGCTTTTCTAGTACTTTCCTAGTTTGTCTCACAGTAGTATACATACTGAATGTTAAAATAAAGAGTGACGTCACATTTTAATTTCATCCTGAAGTTGATAGTCGATTCTGTTGCACAAACTAGAAAAAATTGAGTACTACTGTAGTATATAAGTATACTCACAACTCAACTATCTTTCTAACTAAATCTTAGTTTGGACGGAAATTGTTTATTACAACAGAATAGGCACCATTTTTAACTGTTACCTGTGAGATAAAAGTTTTTACGATTCATAATATTTATGTATCCGATATTTAACTATTTTGTTTCATGTTCATTATCACCGACTCATCCTTCATCAAGGGTAATGGCGGCCATATTGGCGAATGTTTAGTAAAAACCGTGCGGTCTAAATTACCGCTGCCTGCCGAAATAAAGATAGGTGCGTTAAGGTTAATGGGCACCACTTGCCCTAATGTGCAAGGATTGCTCTAATCTTGCTATTATATAATGTTACATCACTCTTGCCGAAATAAATATTATGCTACTGCTTTTGAGTGGGTCTAAAATGAATATACGTATGAATGAAAGTCGCCAGTCTATATCTCGTATGTGTAGAAATTATAATAATAGTAGGGGAGCCCACGATGCTAAATCGGGATTTACTCGAGCGTCATCGAGACCTATTGGGTTGCGAAGCTTAGATGATAACAAAAAATAATTTCATATAATATATACCTTTTCATCGGTGGGGGAAGCGGCTATAGATTTTTAAAAATGTAAAATAAAACTGTTGTATGGACATACTCGAGCGCGTCAGATATTAATATCATCCATGTACTACGCATTTTTAAAAACTGTCGTATGTTAATCTGATCGTTTCCATGATGGGGGTGGTGTCTATGACATAAGTAGATTTACTTTTTATTATGACAATTCATTCTATTGTTTTAAAAAAATATATATACGATTATTTTCCAAAGTCTTACATTTTCATTTCATTTTATTTTGTTATTAACAAAATTGGTGCCGAAACCCAATTCTAATACAAATATTAATTATTACAAACTTATAAAATACAATATTTCATATTTACATAATTTTCAAATTTTGCAAAAGTGTACAAAAGTTATTGTTTCTTGTTGGAGCGCTTCTTATAGTGTTTTCTTTTAGTGTTTTAATTAACAAGAAAAGGAAAAGAATTGTCTCCTGGTGCTGAGAGGTCAGTGTAAAGCTACTATTACACGGCAGGAAAAGTATTTAAACGAAAATGTTACAACTATTACATTGGAAGATTTGGAAGTTCGAATAAAAATCATCGCTGACGTTTTATTAAAATATCAGGACTATCAAGCGCAATTGAATATTATTGACGAAACTATTTCTGATGATAACGTGGAGGAGCGTGTTATTATCTTAAAAGCAAAGATGCATCGGTTATTGAAAGGATTATCAAAAAATTCATTGCCTAAATCATCAGAAACTTACGGCGCAAAGCTTCCAGCATTGGATATACCAATTTTTGATGGGAAAGACATTACATCATATAAACCTTTCATAGAGATGTTTCAAGCTATGGTCGACAGTGATGAGAGGATTCCAAAAATCCA